GAACCTAAAACTTTTCCACTTAAGGAGTTCTGGATAGAGCATATTGGCAGATGATTTTATTTTAAATGCAAAATTTTTACATATTTCTTTTTACAATTTAGGTATAATTACTGCTAAATACATGTTTTAGAGTCTCTACTCCCCAAAGATTAATCGATTACTAACTCACTTATTTACTAAATCACAATTATTTATTATTAATCTGATGAATTGTTTCAGCCTTACCTGATATGATATCAGAGTTTTTTGTGCTTTGTGTTTGGTGTGAGTGGCCCTGAGGAAGGATCAGTCATGTGACCAGAATTCAGGAAGTCCATCACTTATTAACCTACTTTCTCTGGTGATAAAAATACACAATACACAAAGGGAGAGCTGGCTGACAGAAAAAAATCCAACTATTTACAACATTTCATCAGATTTATTACAAGTGTCTGCTTCTCTTGTTACACAGCTTAAGTCTTGGTTCTGTTTTCTCATCCTTTGTCACTCTTTGAATTAAAAGGCTAAAGATGGACATTTCTTCCTATATTTTTCATCCTCTTACGTCCTCGCTCCTCTCATGACCAAATGGTAAACAGACACCTACTCATAGTTAGTCCTTCTTCCGCAGCAGACAGTTTTTTCACTTCCAGGTAAAATACAAATAAATAATAGTTTGCAATTTCTTAACATGTCAACCAACATCATGTACTTTAATGCTCTTTATTTGTTGTTTTTTGTTAAAAATCAGATGATGACTTAAAGGTATAGTTGTGGATTTTTGCGAATTTTTGAAGAGACCTGTCCTCTCTGCTTTAAAAAAAAAAAAAAAAGCACCACACCTTTACTCGCTCCCAAGAAGGAACCCTCTATTAAACTTGAGCGAGAGCGTGCACGAGCCCATTTCTCCTCGTGCACGCTCTGTTTAAAAGTCGCTGTTTGCATCGCTCATACAAGCTTACTTTCCAAAAGAAAATTTTTAATTTTGCCACTATGTCAGACTCACCACCGGTAAGAGAAAATGGAGACGAGCACGTAAGACGTAAACATATCACCAGAATGATTGACAATTAGGAGGACCACTTATTTTGATGAGCCACCCAGAAAAAGAACATCCTCCACTATACCTTTAATATACAATCTTCTCTGTTGTATTTAAAAATACTACAATCAAAGAAATTTTTACACAAAAACCCCCCTAAATCTGTGAAAGGTAAAATAGGCAGGTCAGACGTTGCATAAACCCAGTAAAGACCTAATCGATGCATCTACACCATCTCTGGTTACTTTCTTAGAGCAGCAGCTACCACTTCAGTTTTCTCACACCATAAGCTGGGAAGAGGGAGTCATCTGGGAGAAATCCTTTGACCTCTGCTCATCCAGTTTAGACCCCTGCCCCATCCAGATCAATGTCCGTCATGCTCAGAGAAGATGAAAGGCCACAGAGCAGCATCAGCAGGGAAAAGGCCAGCGTTGGTATTTGATAGTGATAAAGCTAATGCACTTATACACACTGACATGCGGCGGCTCCCTCCTAACCCGCATCTCGGCCAGGTCATGGTCCATAAGCTTAAAAGCAGGGCCGCAGGTGGTGATTCACTTAAAGCTGCAGCAGGATCTCTGGTTGAAGGCGATTCCATCAGGATGGCGGAGCAAGAGACATTCTCATGTTTTGTTTATGCACTGATGATTTCTTTAGTTTTTTTTTTTTACCTCTGATGTTTATATTTTATCTTTACACTCTAAAATCATAAGATTAAACCACAGAGAGGACCTCTTACCTTGTAGCATCATAGCACTGGTCATTTCCCATCCAGCTGTTTATCCATCCTGTCCTCCACCTGACCACCCATCCCTTAATTGGTCCAACCATCCATTTGTGCATGCATCAAAATTCGGATTTCGTCATTTTTATTAACACGAATAGAACATTTGAGTCTAGAAAATATTTTTTTCAATGTTAAATGTGGAGTTACATTAAAACAAGTGTTGGAGGGTAACGCTGGAGCCACATGTTGCCAAATCAAGGGATAATGATGACTGAATGGTAAAACTAGCGAACCACAGCGCCTTGGTAAATGATGCAGTTGGTGGCTGTGAGGGTGGAGGAGTCTGGACCTCATTTTCAACTTTTCCCACACACCGCAAATCCCTCCCACCCGCAGTGAGCAGCACGGAAAACCGAGGAGACAGCTGGAGTTTCCTGACTCGGAGCGGGACATGAGGGAAATGAGGAATTCTGCACATCCAGGCCACTTCCTGTTGCGCTTCGCACATTTGCTTGTGAGAGCGCGGATGTGATTTCAAACACGCTCTTGTGCACAGGGTTTGTTTTTAGGTTGCGCATGCAGATTCCTCCTCCCTCTCCTGCGAGATGATGGGCCAAGTCCCACTGCCCAAAGCAGGAAGCTATCCATCATCGACACTGTAATGGGACACTGTAACAAGTGTTCCTCTGCTGCTGTTGGGTGTCCGCCAGCACTGAAATGCGTTACTGGGTCACTTTTTCAGCTCTTGCCTCGTGTTTTCCAAGCTTTTACCTCTTTCCAACAACATGGCTTTTCTTGTAGAAACTCAGGAATCGGATCAAAGCATAGAAAACGTTTGCCAGATCAAAAGATCAAGGTCATCAGAGGGGTTAATCCATGTTTGGTGACTGACACTACATGGTTCAAACAACTGGACGTACTGACATAGGCTGAAAACATCAATGGGATTACTGAGGAACAAACCATCAGACTGCTGTGGAGTGAAATTACTGGACTGTATTTATTTTATTTAGTCGTCTGAAACATTCAGATGGCCATGTAATCTGAATTTACTGAGATTAGTAGATACTTCAAGGATGCTGACTGTGACCTTCCGGGTTTTGTTTTGAAGTTTTATCTGTTTTTGAGGCTCTTAATGTATGCTTTGTCTGGAACAAAGCGACCTTGTGCTTTGGATTAACTTCTTTTCTCATGATTTATATTAAGATAATGCCGTGATCTTTCTTTTTTTTTTGTCATTGTTGTGGTAGTTGTTCTTTTCCCTCTGATTTTTGTTCATTTTCTCCCCTTCATCTCCTTTCCTTTAATTTGATTAAATCAGTTGTGAAGCAAGGAATTCCCCTCTTTTTAAACACAGATGTCTCTTTTTAAACCCAATATAGTGTTTACCTGCAACAGAGGACTTTATTTTTCTCTTTTCAAAGAGCAAATTGGCAAAAAGAAAAATCCAATCATCTAATTAAGGTCACATTTGATTAATAGAAACCTTTTCTTCATCTCACTTTTATGATAAATATGTCAGATTACTTGGGATTACTCCTTCGGGGAAATTCTGATTCTAGTAGCTTATATAGAGTACAAAGAGTCAAAGCAAAATTCCTTTAAAGATAGAAACACAACAGACTATATAAAAAAGAGTTTTTATAGTATAAAAGAGCATAAAATAAGTTGAAATGTCCTGGAATATGTCTCCTTTAGATATAGAAAATAATCTGCACAGTAGAGAGGTAAGGGAAGAGTTGACTTGGATTATTGCACATGCACTGCAGAGATGTACTGACCATATAAATAAGTCAAAAAATTACAGACTGCACAGTAGTCGGCATGTGTTATTGCAGTGCGAGAGAAGAATATTGCACGAGTGACAATTGGTAATGTTTTGCACAAGATGTCCAAGCGGGGTCCCTCTTCCTATCACCTTCTCCTTCCCCCGTGCAGATTTGTGTGTCGAGGAAAGCAAGGCAAATTTATTTATATAGCACAATTCAGTACAACGACAATGCAAAGTGCTTTACATGATTAAAACATAGGAAAATAAAATGGAATCAAAGCAAGTAGGAGAAAAAAAAGAATATAAAACGCAGAAACAAAAAAAGGGAATCAGTAGAAAATGTTGAATGGAGCAGCAGCCTAACAAGATTTTATGGTGTTTTCTGCCTGCTATTCCCCACAATAATAAACACAGAGAGTTATTGACCACTTTTAACAGAATGGTCTATTATGCACATTATATTAGTCTCGCTTTTTCCTCCTTAAGTCTAAGCATTTCATATCTGTGTTAACAGGATAAAGTGTCACAAAGCTGAATCAATTCATCAGCAGTCACTTTTCTCACAGATTCAGCCCTGAAAAGTCACTTCTAATTAATGTTACAGAAATATGGATTAAAGGATGGTTCAAATCACCAGTCCAATGATTCTTTGTGTAAAAAAGATCAACAGACATCAGCAGATATTTCCTTCTAACAGTGGACACTTTAAAGATAACTATTTGATCACCCAATAAGCTTTATGTTCATAAACAATAGTTTAATTAACTCCCTGCTTAAATCAAATCTCTGATTTGGTTTGACTGCTCCTCCTTCTTTGCTTTTTTCACTTTATTTACATCAAAAAAGCATTTATTTATGTACAAAGATCTAAGATGCTACTCCTCCAGATGCCAAGTTATTGGCCATATATGGGCAATAACATTTTTAATGGGACATTTTTAAGACTATTATTAATCCATTCTAAAAATATATATATATATATATATATATATATATATATATATATATATATATATATATATATATATATATATATATAGTTGTAGGGTTTGATTCTTTTTTTTTTCTCATCTAAGTTTTATATATTTTTAGTTTGCCTGTCTGTAAGATATGATAATACTTTATCTTTGAAATTATAAACTCCTATAAATATTATGTAATTTCTACAATTTCTACTATATTTTTTTCTGATTTCTGGTTCAGATACATGCATTTTCAATTGATATCCTAAAGAACTACCTTTTCTCTCCACTTGGGGGAGCTCTTTTATTAAAAACAGCTGCAAACCCTCTGAGCTAACATAATTTTGTCCTTATTCTGCCCTTAGGTGCCTTTAGTTTCTCATCGATTCAATATAATTTTCTGGTGTCTTTTAAAATCATAGGATACTTCCTCTTCTCTATAATCCTCACATTTTGTTATATTTTTATATGATGATGGATCCTTTCTAATATTCCTCCCCATCTTTCCGGGACGTGTAGATGGAGCAGGTGTCGGACGATGAGCTGGACCATGGAGCAGAGGAGGACAGCGACAAGGAGGACCAGGACCTGGACAAGATGTTTGGGGCCTGGCTTGGCGAGCTAGACAAGCTCACACAGGTAGACGGGCGGTGGGGAAATAAGGAGGAGGCAGTATCCATGGCAACCTTAACACTGCTAATCCTGTCTCTGTTTCCTAGCAACCCTTCCCTTTACGTTGTGCAGATAAGCAGGGCTCTGTGTCTGTGCGTGTGTGAGAGGGAGTATGGGGTGTTGCAGTCAGGGTTGTTGTGATCCTTCTTTTTGGTTGTATTTCACAGTGATTTAAAAAAAAAATGTTTTTTTTGCCTTTGTTTGCAACATAGAGTTTGGATGATGGCAGGCCACAAAAAGCACTGCAGAAACCGCCCCTCAGGCAGGAGACGAATATGGCCAACTTCTCTTACCGCTTCTCTGTTTACAACATAAACGGTGAGGCTTCTGTCGTCTTAGGTGTCAAAAATCAGCCCATTTACCATCCAAACTGACCAATAGAAACGCACACCTCAATATGCCAGGAGGTCATAGAAAAACATTCTCATTAAAAAAGTAGGTAGTTTTAAATTGAATTTAGGTTTTTAGTTGTTAAAATAAACCATGAAATGTATAAATCTGTGTTTTTAAAAAAATTATCTGTAAATGAGTTTCCTTATTTGAATTAACTTGGAGAAATGCTATTTTCTAATTTATGTCCCTTCATTGACCTTCTTCTGACTTCATACCCTGTAAAATGTTTCTGCAGAGGCTCTGAATCAGGGAGACGCTGTGGACCTGGATGCTCTCATGGCTGACCTCTGCTCCATCGAGCAGGAGCTCAGCACCATCTCCAAGCCAAACTCAACATCCCGCAGCCAGAGCAAAGGAGGACAGAGGGGCCCCGGGGGCCGCAGTGCCAGCACCAAGCACACTGGCACCAGTGGAGGAGGAAGCAGTGGAGGTAGTCCAGATTATTGCATCCCCTAATAGCAGGATAGTAGTATTTGTTATTCTGATCAGAATAGAATCACACAGAGGTTTTTATTCAGACTCTTTGACTTTCCTCTAAAAGAGAAAAACATGACTACAGAGCAGACCGTAAAACAGAAACAGGTTACATGAAAGGATGTAAAGCAAATTTGTTACACCCTGGCACAATCTTTGTGATTATAAAGAATCTTAAGAAATACATCTTTAGTTTGAAAAATAGAAAATAACCTCCTTTCATTTCTCCTTTCCTTTCATGCATGAAAACTGCCTCATGGATGTTGAATTGGTTGAGTTAACAAAGAAGGAAAAAATGTACTTTAATATGGTCGTTCTAGACCATATTTACCAGTCTTTACTTTTTTTATGGAGAGACAAAACAACATGACAACTAAAAAAAACAACAGAAAAAAAGGTCTTTATTTGATATATTAAGGGAACCAAAGAAGATCTTCAGATGTAGCAGAAAGAAAATGGGATTCTATCTAAATATGGTTGAATCTAAATATGCAACAACTTATTTTTTACATAATAAATCAAATAAAACAAAAAATAGAAAAATGAACTAGTCCAAGGGACTTATTCCAGGGTATATCCTGTTTTATTTACCATTAACTGCATTTTGCTTTCAGTACACGCCAATATCAGGGGCCAGGACAGGGACACTGGCCCCTTTTGGCCCCTGTATATATATATATATATATATATATTTGGCTTTTTATTTCCACAGAAACACAAAACTTCCTTCTCTAATTTAAGAATTTAAAGAAAATTGTTTTAAACTTCCTTTTGGAGCATCTTCCACACATCAAAATATAAATAAAGGGAATTATAAAAACAGCACTATTTACTGTTTGTGATACAGAAGTTTCTATATTTTACAATTGTTAATTTATTCTTTATCTGAATTTCTTTTTATTTTTTCTTAAACCTCTCCTGCAGGAAGTACCAGCAGCAGTGCCAGAGCCTCGCCAGCCAACACGGTTCGTGGCGGCAGCGTTAACTCTCGACCCGGTGCTTCCAACATCTCCCTGGACGACATCACCTCCCAGCTGGAAAAGGCCTCCCTCAGCATGGACGAAGCTGCGCGTCAGACTTCTTCTTCGTCATCGTCTTCCTCATCTTCAGTTTCCTCCGCAGCTCTGCGGCGTCCGTCGTCCGGATCGTCCGGCGGCGGGCAGCACCGCAGGACTGGGTCGGTGGGCACGATCAGCGAGCAGGAGGCCAAGTCGCAGCGATCAAGCGTGAATTCGGCGTGCGCCTCTGCTTCCAGCATGGACTCCCTGGACACGGATAAAGTGACGGCGGGCGTGGAAGCGGAGGAGCAGGGCAGTCCGAGCTCGCAGGGCCAGAACCAAACCAGCACAGAGGTAGGATGTGTGTGCAGAGACCAACCATAACAGTTTGAGTTGCATGTTTGTATTGGGTTGTGCATCCTAAAATACACTGCAATCCGGAATATTTCCTATTGCAATGGTGACAACTCCTTCTTCTGAGCTCCTTTTATTAACTCTAATGCACAACTTCTCTCACATAAGCAACCAATCCCTCACAGTGTGGTTGAGAAGCTTTTCACCTGCTTTACACACTGCAAATCTCACCCAATGCTTTCCTCCAAGCCTCTAGATGCTTGAGAAAAAGAGGCGTCCAAAACAGTCAGAACAACCATGTTACCCTGCATGCTCCCTCTTCTTCCTGCATGTGTTCACTTTTTTTGTGTTTGCATCCTTTTATTAATCGTTGGCCTGCTCGTCTACCTGCCTGCCCGCACCCTCCGAATTTCCCCCAGCATGTCAAACTGCGACGGGCCAACAGTCGTCCGGCCAGACGGCAGCTTGACTTCACCTCAGGCGAGGGGGAGGTGGACCGGGCCACTGTAAGTTTGCATGTTTGAGTTTGCATGAGAGGCAGTGCTTTTTTTTTTTTTCATTTATACAGCAAAGAATGCTTATTTTATCAACAATGTTTCTAACTAAAAAAAAAAGTGAACTCAAATGCATTTACTGGATTTATGCAGGCGGTCCTGCAGAACGCATCTCTTCACATGCTGGTTACAACCACACACTTTAATGTATTTTAGGACTTTTTGTATTAGAAGAACACTATGATGGGCTTAATTGTGAAGTGGAAGAAATAGGATATAGCATCAAAAACAGCAGAAACATCAGCGATGAGGACAAGTTTAAAGCAAGAAACCTGTAGAGATTTTGCAGAAAAGCAGATGTTTTTTAACACATTAGTAGGAGTTGCAACGAAAATGTATAGAAAGGTGTTTTTTATCAGATTAGACCATGATTCAAAACAATTATTTTTGTAATAGAACTAAGGATGCTTGTAGTCTAACCATATAGCAAAGGCTACTAGCAGGCCCATATCCAAATTAGAATATACTTTTCAGACTTTTATGCATGAGATTTTTGCAAATTTCTATGACTTTACTTTCACTTTAGGGTTTTGCACTAATCTGTGTTGTTTTTATCAGATAAAATCACAATAAATTACACTAAAAGGTTTGTGGTTGTGGGTCTGATAATGTAACAACATTAAATCGCTTGTTTTCTGTCCATATGGAGTCCCAGAAGGTCTTTAATGGGTTGTGATAATGAATGGAAACACTGCAGAACGTTGGGCAACAGTCTAGGAGTTTGACAATATTTTGTACTTTCCAAACACCTTTTGCAGCTCTTATATAAAAAGCCTGATGTATATTTTGTATTTACGTTTTTTTTTTATTGTTTTCTTCTTTATCTATGTAGTTTTTAACTCTCTGAGCCTTTTTTGTACTTTTGTATCCCACTTTGCAGAGCTATAGTTAAGATATTTTAGTTTTGTGCAGGTTTTGCTTATAATAATGAGAATATCAGAGTATTTTTAAAGGTAACTGAACTGAATCACGTTTCTTCTCACATAATCATTGCTCCAGTTCCCACAGCTGCAGCTAATGACACCCACGACTGCTTAAAGTGCTTTACCCATGGACTCTTCTCTCTTTTCTGCTCTGCTTTATTTAAAGCGAGGATCAAAACACCTGGAATTAACAAGCCTCTGAGAATCATCTGACACTGACCTCACTATATTTTGTCTTTTCCTTTTGCCCTTTCTGTTTATCTGCTCTTCCTCACCCAAGCATTCCTATCTGGACCGAGAAACCTCACTCATTCTGAAAAGCATAGCTGGGAAGCCCTCTCACCTCCTGACCAAGGTGACTTCCTTATACACTCCATGATTGGTGTGCGTGTTTGTGGGGTTGTGTGCTGTTCCTGGATTCTGCTCTGCATGGCTTTTTGGGGGGAAATCCATCTGCTTGGGTTCCGACACAGTTTAGAAAAGATGAAATAAGATTTTGGTACAATCAAAGTCTGCTTAAGTGGGAAGAAAGTCCAAAATATCCTTCCTTTTCTTCTCTCTGTGACATTCCTTTTCGTTCTGTCTTTCTTCCAATTAATTTCTTTGCTCACCATTTTTCACTGAGCCGTTCCTTTTTTTCTTTCTTCCATCATGACGTCCTCCCTTTTTCAGCTTCTACCTTACCTCCTTCCTTATGTCCTTCCTCTCTTCCTATCCTTTTGTCACCCTCCCTAGTCTAATCTGTCTTCTCCATTTTTTTCCTCTCCTTCCTTCCTTTTGTTCTTCCTCTCCTCTTGTTCATCCTTTCCTTTCTCTGTTACGCTTCCTTCCAGGTTTCATATTTAGAGTTTGTCTGCTGTAGAAAAACTTCCATAAATCTTTACTTTTACATATTTTAACGTGAAATAAATACTAGTAAGACCAGTAGATGGATTTTCCCTCATTGTTTATATTCACTATGAGTTGATCTGTATTGTATATCATTTAGATGCATGAACCTTATTTTTTGTGTCTGTTTTTTTTTTGCTCTTTTCCATATTTCTCTGCATGTCGTCGCTTATTGATTTGCTTTCTGTTGTTTGGAAGTTTAGAATCCTGTCAGTGGAGCAGCACCCAGGCTAATAAACCAACTTTTGTATAAATTTAGTTCAGAAATTATCCTTTAAGTGTTTTCTTTTAGGCAAATGCTGATTATTTTTTAAGATGAGCCTTTTTCTTCCCTTAATCATGTGATTAAAAATAGCAGAAAATGTCACCTAGTTCTCATTTTAAACAAAAATGTAATATTTATATACAACTCAA